TCACAGCCTTGGAGCTGTGACTATAGATTTGTACAAATAGGTCCTCGATGTACTGCTCTGCGACCCCGATGAATCCTTGCTGAGCGTCTGTCTGTCGTGTAGCGGACATCCTCAGAGCAGGACACCATGTTTGACTATTATTCACCAAAACAGTTGGTCACCTTTCTTGTCTAAGCATGGTATTCTCTTACGATGTCCGTCACACGACGGACGAAATCTCAAAAAAGGATATATCGGGGTCGCAGGGCGATGCGCCGAGGATATATTTGCATAAATCTACATTTACATCACTAAGGCAATCCCCCTGCGGCTTCCGAAGAGGCCAATTTACGAATTCCTTCCACCCCGCCCTTCAAACGAAATGAAAGAGGATGGTCTCATCTTATCGCCACAACCTCTACTATAAGAAGGGAGGCGCCTCTGGGTTTGATAATGAGCTTCTTTGCCTTACCTGTGGATGTCCGATTTCGTTTAAATTAAATCACATTCATATTTACTTTGGCTTCCACAATTTTGTCCCTCGTGGTATTTGTCGAAATATCTATATTGGATCAGAATTATAAGGATTCATGGATTGATGCACTGATTGTTTGATACTACAAAGGATTCCTTTAACTAATTAACTTAATCGTTAAATGAGAAATATCTCTCACAATTTACATCCCTGTCCTTAAAGGACAGCCAGTTTGTCCTTTTAATTGCATTCACATTTATATTGAAGTTGAAAAAAATAATCCTATAAGCCTTCAATTCATACTTTACTGAGTTTCAGCTAATGCCTGTCTTTATTTCAAAAATCCACCAGCTTTTTTTAATCCTAATAATTTAGTTTGCCAATAAGTTTTCAGGTTTGGCTTTGTCATTGATTACTATCATGTACTTGATTCTTTATTTATTATCATGTACGGTATTTTAATTTGTTTCAGGAGAGAAATCCAGTTGATGGCCTGTGCTGCCATTATGATCGCATGCAAACACGAGGAGCGCCAAGTCCCGCAACTTAGTGAGTTCCTGTATATAACTGACAATGCCTATGCTAAAGATGAGTTCCTCGATGCTGAGCGGCGTCTACTGATGACGATTGATTTTGCAGTTCATAGGCCCAATCCCTACATCTTTCTTAGGCGATATGCACGGGTAACTATTTTCTATCTGTCTTATTAATTACGTTTGCATTGCCACTGTGAGTTGTACGGTTTATCACTGATTATCCAATTTATCATTCCTTTTTTTCGTATAATTAGTTTTCAATTTATATTACTCTAAATCAAAATATAAGTGCAGAAAAGTTTTATTTAGGTGTTTTTAAAGATAACGTTATTGCTTTAAATTTATTTTTGATCGTTTTCTTTATGAGCGATTTTAATAGTCACTTCCTATTTTTCGCCCACTATTTGTAATCCTCATAACTAAGTAGTAGTTAATTGAAAATGATCAAGTTAGTAAAACTTTTATATTGCAGCTCATTTGTCTGATTGTTTCTCCCCTTAAAACGGATAGACTGAGAATCCTATTCATCTTAGGTCGCTTAAAGTTATGTAACGATTGATGGCTGTATTTTTCGCAATACAATTAATAGGCTTAGTGATTGATTTTAGTTTAGAATGGTCTCTTAAACGGCTTTTTTGTCTTGCTTCAATAAGGAATATTTAGTTTAAATTCTGGGGCATAAATGGTCCGAAACTATTCCACTTTCTTCGTAAACGCCTTCTTAATAGTATGGGAAACTTTGGTGAGTTAATTCTTGATTTATTTTGCATTAGAGTAGTTAACAAACTTTTTTCCGAAAATTATCTTTTTATTTATGCTGGGTAATTTCAAGACTTCTTGCAGATCCTGAATGAGAACTATCTTCGCCTTAAGTCGCACAAGGTGATTACGGACTGATAGTTCAATTTTCAAATGATTATAGGATTAGGCCGCATGCTGTCATTGAATTTCACTTAGTTTTGTCTATCAAAATGTGCATCGCATTTGCGACCACGTATGGATATCATAGGCACCCATAAAAATAATCGAAGCCGGTCAGTGCATCTTATATTTCTAACATTCTCTAGACACTATCATAGATATAAGTAGATCACAGAAAAGACGAATTTTTTAGACTGACAAGACCCTCTATTCCAAAAACAGTGGTTGCTTCAAGACCACTACATGTTAATATAAGTAACGTAGTATATTGTAATGGCAAGATGCTAATTTGAATCATTGGCAATCCCAATTGGATTGCGATATGAAAAATGCTTGACATGCCCTAAAATTTGCGTCTGCCCTGTGATCTAGTGGCATCCGTGATAGTTTTGATAGTAGTAGATCTAGACAAGGTCCAACCGACAGGCCACTCTGAATGAGAATACCTTTTAGGAGGCAAGACCACATGAAATTCCATATCTTCGTGAGACCTACTCATATCATTGCAGGAATATTAACCGTCCAGTCTCTCATGACCTTATGACACTTAGTTTTGGACGCGCTTGTGTTTTTATTTCCCTCTATCACAATTTTACTATTATTGCATCCTAGATAATCCTTTCATTTCTGCCTACTATTTTTGTAATCTTTACTT